GTGTGTGTGTGTGTGTGTATGTGTGTGTATGTGTGTACGTATATTTGTATGTGTATGATATAAGAGCGGAGTTAAAAGCGCTTTTCACATAGAAATAAATGTTTACCACAATATTATGCATATATTTGCAGCACTTTTTAAGTAGCTATCCCACTTCTTGAAGATATTTTTATTCTATTTTTCATAAATTTACGAATCAAAGATTACTGTTTTAAATTTTAAAAAATTAAAAAAAAAATTTTTAGATTCGATAATTTAGAGTTAGAATTATTCTCTTAATTTTTAATCCATTTCTTTTGTTAATGTTCCGTAGTTAAATATTGTTAGAAAAACATTAAAAAACGTTTTATCGACTATTGCTACTTGTTGTTAATTTTAGATTATAAAAAAAGAAGTTTTTTTCTTTATTCAAATTTTATTTTGTATAGAATTTAAAAATTAAATAAAAATTTACCAACCATATTACTATTATTATTATCATTATTATTACTATACTATTAATTATTTCTGCATTAGTGATTTCATTCAAATAATTTCTCAAACATTTTTATATATTCGATCTTTTATTTGTATTCTTTGTTATTCATTTGGGGCACTAAATTTTGCCAATTAATTATAGCAATATTTTCCTGAATGATTCAATATTTCACTCCTCGTGTTGCATTATAAATTTCCAATAAAAAAAAGTTAAAGTGTTGAAAAATACTGAATTTTTAATATTTTGCTATCGAAACAAGTAATAACTTCTACTTTAATTAACAGATATTTAATAATAGATGTATTGCAAACAGCAAACCAAAATTTCTAATGAAATAATTAATCAAAAACTTTTTTTTTCTACAATTAAATATTACTCAAAAAGAATTATCTTTCTGCTAAAAAAGGCAATAAAATAGCTAACATTTCTTTCATTTCAAGTCTATTCTTGTCCATTTCAGTGAAGTCTATTATTTTTGAAATGATTGACAGATTCTTCAAGTTTTCTAATTATTCGATCTGTCAAAAGCTTTGATTTTATCACTATTCAAAAAACATTAAAGAGCTCTATCATAGCCAAAGATAAGACTAAATATTGTGGAATTCGAATTTCAATAAACCTCAAAATGAAGAATGTATTCTAGCGAGTCATTTGATAGCTGAACATTTCTAAAATTTTGTTTAAAATGGCGAGAGTTTACTTATCAGAATGAATATTCGATGAAAAAAGCGTCCGCCAAATAAACGCTAAGATGAAGAAGGAAAAAAGGAGAGAGAGAAAGGAGAGAGAGAAAGGAGAGAGA